AAAAAATTATGATATAGATTTATTCATAATATCATTAATCATAACCAGCCTTGTTCATAATGGGTACTCGACAATCGGGACAAAATAGTACTATATGTAATATATTTTGTTGGCTTATTATTCTCTATAGGACCCTATAGTATTTCACATACGGTGTTTTTAAAAGCTAGTTATTGCGATTTATTGAAAATTCTAGGGTACTTGAGTCAGAAGTATTATGGTACGTATACCTCAGTGATTCCCATTCGTTACGTTTTTCAAGAGTATTCGGTCAGGAAAACTATTGATATACGTGTAGTATGCCGGATTTGAATACTCTTGACAAATCATACTTGACGTACTCTGGTAAGAATACGCCAGCGATACTCGATACGTGACGTATGCAATAGTATTCAAYATGAAWACCCTAGGGATACGTCAAGTATCATCCTGCGACTTGAATACCTCCGAATACGCGTTGTACCACGGGAATATTCTGGTCCTGAAAACTATTGAATACCGACCTTTTTGCACAGTGTCAATTACTCGTAAGAGATCTTTTCAACACTTGAAGATAGAAACCGTATCTTTGCGCGCCCATGTAATATCCTCTATTTATATGATGTTCCGAGATCGTTCGTATACGAAGAGCAAAGTCTCTACAGCAGTCCAATGAAATATGGGGGAGTAGAAAAACATCAGTTATTTGGGCATTCCTCATATCATACTCAATTAATCCTATATTCCTTTACATCATATTCAGCCTTGACAATAATTCTCCATATTATACGCAGCCTTAGCCAATAATTCATCACATCGTACACAGTATTAACCAATTAATATTTCGTCATATCATGCTCAGCCTCAACCAATAATTCTCCATGTCATTCTCACAGTTAACATATCATACTAAGCCTTAACCAATAATTCATCACATTGTACAGCCTTAAGCAATATTTCGTCAAATCATGCACAGCCTCAACCAATAACTCCCCATGTCATACTCAGAATTAACATATCATACTCACCCTTAACCAATAATGTATCATTATAATGATTGCAACAATACATATTACTTTTTTACCTAGGGGTTACCACGAAATATTTGATACCATCGGAAGTMGATCATTCCACAAACACGACCARTATAATTTCGCGGTCGATACTGGTCGKGTTATATGGTATCAYCACCAAGAACAAGACAAAGAAGTATTTAATATTGAAACAATGCCCGTTATACCGGCCAGAATATGGACTCATATCGTWGTAACTTACGATGCYTCKGAAATGCTGGCCAAGGTTTTTATCAATGGTAAACAAGTGAAAATGAAATCAGCGACCGGGGATTTGTCACAAGATTGGGGACACTTTGCYGGTATCGGGTATCGGTTTTATAGACAAGATCATCTTGGTGGACTTATTGATGAATATATTATGTATAACTACGCATTAAGTGATGAGGAAATTGCATTTTTAGCTAAAGGAACTTGTGGGCGATAAAATTAATGAATAGCAATATTTTTTATTAAGAATTTATTGGTAGAAAATCATAGCTGTCGTCAAAGGGCTTTAATTCCATGACTCAATGATCAATATATATTTTTTGTCTCATTGCATTATCTATAGCGTTAATAATATAATATTAATATTATTAATAACATAGTATTGCATTTATATCTATGAAGCTTAAGAATGTGTTTTCGAGTAAAGACGCCATAGTTCGATATCGCTGCAATGAGACGAAGAACTTATATTGTTGAACAGTTATTTTGGAAGCATGACCCTCCAATCGGACAACAGARACTTTTCAATTTTCAATAAACAATCATCCTAGTTCTAAAGGACAGCAATTTAAAAAATGGTGACACAACTGCCACAAACTTAGCTGAGATAAGGATACAGCCACAATGACTTTAGGAACGCGAATTGTCTTTTTCACAGTTCCCTGCGCCTTCTTGAAAGGTAGCCGTGCCTTTGCATCGAAGTGAGACGTCCGTTGAGCGTGCAATGATAGAAACCCTCTTTCACACCTGCAGAAAATTATTCACAGGTATCTATCATTGTACGCTCAACGGTTGTCTCGCTTCGATGTAAAGCCACGGTTGTCTTTCAATATGGCGCACGTAATCGTGAAGGAGATTATTGTCTTGGTTAATGAATCGCTCATTAGTCTCCTTCACGGTCTGCGCTGTGCCATCTTGAAAGGTATTCGTGCCTTTCCACCATTGAAGTTGACCGTTGAGCGTACAATGATACATACATGTGAATAATTGTCAAGTGATGACAAAAATATTTCTAAATCATTGCGCCCTCAACGTTCGTCTCGCTTTGAAGCAAAAGGCACGACTACCTTTCAAGATGGCGCAGGGAACCGTGAAGGAGACGATTGAGTTTTAARTGATACAACAATCTCTAAAATCATTGATATATATTTGTGGAAATCTCAAACCATTGTCATGTGACTTTACAGCGAAGTAAGGAATAAACATTATTTTTTGAATCAAAATGCAAGAACGCAAACTTTCAATCTCTCTCACCATGTATTAAAATAAAGTCGCTGCATTTTATAATCGTACCGCAGACCTTTGGCCTTGATACGGTAATTAAAGTGCTACTTGCATGAAAATGGCCTTATTTCAAAACTTCAAGCAATACAAATATACAGCCTTTTGCAAAAATTATGAGAATTGTCGAAATATCTAAATATGATAATATCAAGTGCATGATGGGTAATCGCGCGCGATTCCCTTTGTCCTCTGTCTTTGTAGTTTAGTTTTTTTCGGTGGTGACGGACTTATCCGTAGTTCTGAACATTTTCTCGATGTCAACAATGAATTATTCTAGCAAACCCGCGTGTTCTGGACAATATATGGATATGGATATTATGATATTTAGATATTTAGACAATTCTCATAATTTTTGCAAAAGGCTGTAT